GGCCTGTTACGACGGGCGTTCGGACAAATAGGTCGCACTATTTTCTGGCAAATGCTTAGTGCGTATCTTCTTTCTCATGTCGAATATGCAAGCTAAGCCTGACACCCATGGCTAAAACACGCCCGTAGTGAATCGGAGCAGCCCAAACTTCCAGCATCAAAATAGGTTATTGGAATATACCACGTTCCATACGAGGAAATGCTGGAACGATTGGGGGTATTCGGCAGACGTTACCGATGCTAAGTTGGTGACTTGATGATGGTGTACTTAATTCTGTATGATCCACACAATGTGTGCAGCTCTGTACTGCAACTCAGCAGTAATACTAACTTGAGAGGTCACTCATTAAAACTGGCAAAACAGTACAGCCGCTGGATTGCCGCAGGAATTTATTTTCCGTCCGCGTGTGTCACCCGTGCTCTTCCAGAAGCGGTCATTTCTGCGTCATCACTACCTATATTTAAAAGACGTTTGGAAGACTTACGTACTCACCTACAATTTGTGGCCTACTACTACGTCTCCATCCCAATCCTGGAGTTAACTTTGGATTTATTTGCTGTTACATATTTGTGCTGTGAAGCTACACGGATCCCAGGGCCACGGCGAAACAAACGATAAGTCTCCCTTTTTTTACTCTTCGATAACCCTACAAAATCACCGGACGGGACATGCAAAGCATTGCTTCTTAACCCTGACAAGAGTTCCGTAATCACCTAACTATAAAAGCTGCGGTCCAAGACTAATGAAAGTAGTGTTACACTCCGAGGGAATGACGCAAGTTCTGTTAGATAACTGGTTAAAGTTTCGAGCTAGGTCGCCAACAGAAATACGGCTAAAGGCAGCAGGCGAACGACCAAAAGTCGGAAGCAATTCAATGGAACTTGCAAACGCTACAAATTCTTTATTTGCACAGTCATGCGGAGAGACCGACACAACAGGGCCCACGGCACACAACAGGACAGAGCACAGCATAAGTGAAACGTCTGTTCAGGAACGCTCAATAATGCCGTGCAACTTGACTAAAATTCATAAACCAAAATATGCTTAATGGCCAGCCACCCAAAGGCCGGATTAAAAGCTAACGCAAATTGGACATCTATCAATGAACTCCTAACAACAAAAGTCCTATCTTGCATGTACACATACGCCCAAGACTTAGTAAGTAAGTTGGCCGAACGTAGAGAACTCAATGCCTCACAACCGCGGGAACTCGTCATGATTATGGAGACATAGTTAAACCCTGAGATAACAGATTTTGAGATCAATGTACCCAGTTTGTCGCTGCTTCGGACGGATAGAACCGGAAAGGGTGACGGTGTAATGCTTTATTATAATACAAACGTCCGATGTGAAGTTATCGATCACCCAGAAATCCGAGCTCCCGATTCGCTTTGGTGCCGTCTACGGTTGCGAAACAAGGATACATGCCTACTAGCCGTGATTTACCGCCCACCAAACTCAACTTCGGAAATGGACTCCAAACTGAAGCACGTCTTTCAGTTTCCTTTGAACAAGTCCTACAGCCACATTCTTATCACTGGAGAGTTTAACGTGCATGACATAGAAACGCCGGCAACCGACGTTACGCAGTTTAAAGCCTGCTTGCAAGAGCTAATTGATGGCCACCTACTGTACAACCACGTAACCTCTCAAACCAAATTTCGAAATGCTAGCAAACCATCGATACTGAATCTCGTGCTAACTAAGGAAGAACTCATGGTTGATGGGATAGTTACGAGCCCACCACTGTGTCGTAGTGATCATGTTACTCTACTCTTTCATTATATATGCTATGCAGATTACCCTGAAAAGCAGGAGGATAAAGTGCATAATGTCACGCATTGCAATGTGTGATTTAAGCTTGTTAAGGATACATAATGGACTTTCTTAACTGAATGACCCCCAGATGTTGTCTGGGAAACATTCACAAGGATGTTTAGCACACTGGTTGCGCAAGCATCGGAACAGAAGTCCTTCCAACCCAAAAGCAAGCATAAGTCATTTCTGAGGAGCAGGACACGTAAATGTATGTCCCGGAGGGATTTGGCAAGGCGATACCACCAGGACTGCTTGAATGTCGAAACCTGGACTACTTTCGTGACACATCGTAACTTCTGTGTGAAACTGATCCTCGAAGACAAGGTCACTCATCATCAGACGTTAATGAAGCGATTCTGCACTAACCGTAAACTTCTGTACAGGCTCGTTAACGGCCTTCAAAATGTGAAGCGGGGGGTTCCAGCGCTAGTCACGGCTGATGGGTGCACGAGATCAGCAATGGAAGCAACTGATCTCCTGCGGCTTCATTACGCCAAAACGTTCCAGCAGGTAACGAGCTCAAATATTCTCTTTATTTCTAATACTCCACCATCTGGTTTAGAAAACATCACCTTCACTGCGGAAGGTGTGTCGAAGTTGTTATCCTTGCTTATCCACAGTTCTCCTGGAGTCGACACCATCCGACCAAACGCTATGCAGGCGGTAGCTAGTGATGTAGCAGAACCACTGGCTGTTTTCTATCAGCGATGTCTAGAAGAGGAGCAAATTCCACCAGTATGGAAGCGAGGTGTCATCACTCCTATCCATAAAGGAGGTAGCCGCACTGACCCGACAAACTACAGTTCAACAACACTACTTCCTCTACTATCCAAAGTTATGGAATCAATTATCGCAGATGCGCTGATGCAGTATCTGGAAACCCACAATTTAATAGCCCCAGAGCAACATGGCTTACGGCAAAAGGGTTCATGTAATACTAACCTACTAGTTGCACGTAATAGCTGGACTGAAGCTGTTGTCGATGGAGTAGGAGTTGATGTCATCTACCTTGAATTCTCAAAAGCGTTTGATCGCTTAGAACATCGCATTCTCCTTCAGAAGCTTCGGAACTACGGCATTGGCGACCCAATCCTGAGTTGGATTAGCAATTTCCTACACAAACCTCGGCTAGTGGTGAGAGTCCGAGAATAATTGTCTGATGCAATCGATGAGGCATGTGGGGTACCACAAGGCTCGGTTCTTGGATGTCGTCTATTCTAGGCGTTCATTAACGATTTGGCGAGATCAGTTACTTCCGATTTCTTATTTTTCGCTGCTGAAATCAAGATATGGCGAAGGCTCAGAGGACCGGAAGACCACGTACGGCTCCAGTGCGATCTTAACACGGTGTCGAACTAGTCAGTTCAAAACGCCCTAACATTCAACGTAGACAAATGTCGCGTTGTGCAAGTAGGCCATAGACATAACTACACATATTTACTTGGGACAAACGGATTGCAGCCCAGCTCCCAGGAACGTGAGCTTGGTGTGCAAGTACAGAGCGACCTAAACTGTTCAAAACAAGCTGAGATAGCTACGAAATGAGGCATCCACACGTCGGCATGCTGCGAGGGGCATTTGGGAGATTTGACCCATCAATCTTCCCAATGATGCACAATTCGTACGTACTCCCGCATGTTGAATACGCCATCCAAGCTTAGCAACCTTGGTTGAAGCACCAGCTAGAGCCGTTAGAGACAGTGCAACGAAAACCAACAAAGAATATAATGGGCCTGCGCTATCACTCTTACCACCGAAGGTTGAAATTGCTGGGAATTTTCAGCGGACGCTATCGAAGGCTGCGCGGCGATCTCAAATTAGCGTATCAGATATTGAGTGACCCAACCACGTATGCTGCCATTTGCTAAAATACTCAAAACACGCAGCTCAGGGGTAACTGCTTAAAATTTAAGTAACAAAATATCCGTCTATAGTGTCGACGGAATTACTTTTCCCTTCTGGTTTGCCAACCCTAGAACGCACTCCCAGACTCAGTTGTATCCTCACCTACCTTGGACATTACACAAAAACAATTAGATGCTGCTCTTAGCTCCCAGCACTTTGTTACCTAAACTTCCCTATTGTGGATTACGCCAAGCATACTTTTCTACAGGATTTGTGTATCAACTGGACCCAAGTGAGCGAACATATCTTACTTTTCGCACTCCACACATCAACGATCACTGCACCCCAGTGTCTTTCTGAACGTTTACGCTCGAGCTTTTTTAAATTTTGATGTTAATTATCAAAATATTTATTTCGGCAGACGTTCGGTAGATGACCCAGATATACTTTGATTTCATCATGTGCATCTCAACCATCCTACGGGACGTGTCAAGCACTTGCTTTTATCCCGTGATAAATGATTGTTCATTATTCATTGTTCAAAGATTGACTTAGCGGCGAGAAATGTAGTCAGTGACGACCAAACTCGTTGCCGTTGTTTCATTTCGCCTTCCCAGCGATAGTCCTCATGACCCACGTTGCATATAGCTCGAGTCGTTACAAGACTGCTCGCAATCGGCACCAGTGGCGTGCCTGCTGTCGGCTTCGAGTCAGATTGCCTGTTTAAGGTGTGTTTGGTGCCGAATTATCTGCGCGGTGGTAAATGGATCATGACGCGGAGCAGCAGAAGCCAAAAGCCAGCTGTCTAATTGATCCTGCCTTGTCTTCGCACCATTATCGGATGTTTGTGGCTGTACTTTGTTTGCCAAGATGTAGGTCTGTTAACCCAGATTGCTTGAGGCACTTAGATTATGCGTCAGGTTACCCTTCTCTCCTGCTTTTTATTTCTCGTCCCCTATCCGAGACATCAACTTATTGGATACTATGTTGATGCTAATCGAGCGATCGATCCCACCGCAATGATATGTTAGGATGCCACCTAATTAATAGTGTAAACGTACAGAAAAACCTCCGAAGTTGACCAATTATATATTCTGACTTCGCGTCTAATTTGACCGTTTTATTTTTCCTTGCTTGTACATTCATTATGTAAACGTTATGGATCTAGACCTCCGTATGTTGACCACCGTTCCAACCCCTTGATTGGTCAAAAAACGGTTGTTTTACTGTAGTATGAAAATGTTACATTCCAAAGAAGTCACCATTGTCTGATGTGTTGTGAAACCACGGGTTAGTATAGAGTAGCATAATATGCATTCACTTCTGTTTTTGACCAGGTGACGAAATGGTTCACAGTGTGCCGGCTTGTTGCCAAACCTCATCTGTTGCTATTAATCTTCATCACTTGGTTTACGGGTCTTGGGGTCGGCCAGGTGTTCACCTTCCTCTTTTGGCATGTGCAAGAACTGGACGGATCACCGACGCTGTTTGGCATAGCGACAGTGATTAATCATATTTCGGAAGTTTTCATGTACAACTTCAGTCCCCAGATTATCGACCGGATCGGTGAGTTGAACTGAACTGAATTCACTTGAAAACTTCAGTTCCAAATGAACAAGTAGTCAGTGGTTAATTTATAACGCTAAAAATTGTTTTGATCTGTTAGAAAGCGAATGATTATTATTATGAGATCAAACCCAATTCAAGGTTTATCCAACTCTTGGAGTCGTTTGTAATTTTTAATTAAGAGACATTGCTGGGATTATCAGTTTGCTGTTACTTAGCTTATGACGCCCATTTTCTATAAAACCCCCATTCATTCCCAGCGCCACATCTGTCTACTCTCATCACGCATTGTTGGACAAGCTCGGTCTCACTTACCAATAAGCCAAACACATGTCTACCCCTGGTATTGGTGCTAAGGGAACAGCTAAATCCAGTAGTTGCGATCACTCACTAAAACGCAACCAACAACTAGAGCGATTGCGTTGTCCATAGGTGACGACACACACACGTTCCCAGCTTTACTTGTCACTAAATGCGAGCGACCGCAGAACGCAAGGGCCTACACTGGGTACATGGGTCACTAGATCCCCATAATTCGCTGCTCCATCCACGCGTCCCACAGTTATTGGGAAGACGAAAAAGCCGGCCCACACCTCTGCAAAAAACACACTACCTTAATAAAATTGGTACAAACTACCTACCAAACATGCACAAAGCAAAAGCGGTCCCCTGATCACCTATTGAGCATACACTGCAGCCGAACAATTAACAGTTTCCCGCGTAGTAATCGTGACGGTAGCATTTAATGTGCAAACGCTTCGACAGCATTTACATAAATCGCAGCAGACCGGGCATATCGATAAGGTGTAAATTTCGTTCATGGAACACATCTCTTCCCGACACAGAGTCCAACTTCAGTGACGATGCAGCACTATTGTCACATAAAGCACTGTGTTAGCATGATCTGGGAAATCAGCTCAGGAACACTGTATTCCATCAGCAGCTACATTTAAGCAGCTTATGCGGCCCCTAGACATGACTGCGCTGACCATTGCATACCTTACCCGTTTGTGGCGCATGTAGCCGAATGGGTTGCAGCACCACGTGGTGGACATCAACAGCTCAGGCCGGTTCGCATCTGGTGCATTTTCTCGACTCTGCAATTCCCACCCGTGCATCGTCTCGACGGCTAAATACTGTCATCCCTCCCAGCGCTCACAATCTACTCACTTTGATCGCGTTCGGGCATGGAAGGCTCTTTATGTCCTTATTGCTATTACATTCAGCCAGTTGACTATATCGTTTCCTTTTCCATCTAATTATTGCACCCATTCGACGGACGTGTTTATGCCACTAAGATATCGCGGTAGAAGTACATAGTACATTTCGTACCAACAAAAACTAGGCGAGCTACAGGTTACGAAATGTGGGAGCGCAAAATCGTCACTGCCTTTCGCGAGCGGGGAAATTGAACAGATGCGGCCAGCTACAGCTTAGCAACATTCCTTCCAGTGCTTTCCAGAGAAATATAAGCAATTATGGCCAAAGCGCTTATGGGTAATGCCGAAAGATGCAACGTCAACGCACCAGGACATTATGAATTACGGCAGAACCGGTCTTGTACCATAAACCTGCTACTTTCGAGCTCCCGTTGGACTGAAACTGTTGATAGCGGTGCGGAAGTTGACACAGTCTGTCTGGACTTCTCAAGGGAGTTCGACCTTCTGAAGCACCGGTTTTCAATAACTTCATCATCATCATCATCATCATCATCATCAACAACAACAACAACAACAACAACAACAGTACATCAGTCATTTGAACTGATGCTTGGCAGCCATACAACCATGGTGATCCATGGAATTAAGAATAATAAGAGGGAGATAAGGAGGACTTACCTGAAAACCTTAATGCCCTAAGAAAACGTTCTGGTTTGAGACATCTATACCTTGTGTTAACAACATAACATCGCGAAAAGCTTGCTAACGTGCGAAGATACGACGGCTTCGGCGAGACAGCTTCCTTGTGGCCTTCACTGCCACACGACATAATCAGCCATTATCCCTCAGATAACTCAGCACAAAACACAATTTAAACAGACAGTCCGACTATGAGACGACAGTAGACGCGCCACTAGTGTCGGTTGCGAGCCATGTCCTGTAAACTCTCGGGCCAAGCACAAAGCGGATCACGTGGACTCCAGTCTGGAAGACGAGACGGAACGGCGGCATCCAGTTTGGTCGTCAGTGACTTCATTTCCTCTGCAAAGTCAACCTCTGTTCATCTCGAGTATTGCGCCATCATACATCTGACAGACCAAACAAGGCCCTCCTAGGTAAGCGGTGACCAGGCATGTTTTGCACGGGCCAAAGCCAACACAAGTTATTCAGTGTTATCTGTTGTTCTAGGGAGCTAGCATGATTATCACTACCTAGTACTTGCCTACGTACATCATCGATTCGGACACACTGGTGCCACCCGACTCCGGCAATGCTTCGCAGACAACGATGATCAAAGATTTGAAGGCGCCTCAGATATTCAGACAGAAGGGGCCAAGTCTCACTACCATAGAGCAGAACGGCCCTCACTGTGGACTTGTATACGCTCTCTTTCGGAAGGAGGGAAATTCCCTGCTGTCGCCAAAGATGTCGCAGGTTCAAGAAGGCAGCTCTGGCCTTTGCAATGCGTGAGCTGACGTCAGTTTCTATGCGTCCATCATTGCTGACGCAGCTGCCAAGATATGTGAAATGATCAACCACCTCGAGTTCCGCGTTAGCAAGCGTCAAGGGGTCATCAGGTGGCTGGTGGTCCTGCAGCAACACATTGCACTTTGAAGGTGCGAAGTGCATACCAAATAATGGGACCACTCTGGATAGGCTATTCAGGGTTGATTGTGCCGCCCCAACATCGTCGAAAACTAAGACGATATCGTCCGCATTATCTAGATAAACTAACCGTTCACCAGGCAGCACTTCAACGCCTACATCATGAGATTCCGTCAGGGAACACTCCATGATAGAATCCACGATGAAATCGAACAAAAATGGGGAAATCGGACAACCCTGACGAACGACACTTGTGGTCGGAAAGCTGTCCGATAGGACACCGTAAACCCTGACGCGGTCTGTATTGTTCGAGTATAGAGCACGAAGGATGTTCACATATTTCGTGGGAACACCTTTCCGTGCAAGTATTTCGAATAGAATCGATTGATCGACCGAATCGAACGCACTCTTGAAATCAAGGAACACAGTTATTGTCGGTCTGCGTTATGCGTGGCGCTGCTCTAGCACCTGCCGCAAAGTAAATATATGGTCCGTACAGCCAAGTCCTGGGTGGAAACCTGCCTGCTCTTCCCTAATGCGAGATTCCCGTTCCACAGTGAGGCGACGAACGAGAACCGAGGCCAGTAATTTTGTCACAACTGGCGTTAGGCTAATACCCCTGTGATTAGCACAGTCTGTGCCATTGCTTCGCGTAGCCGAGAATAAAAATTTATTTTTATTATTATTTATATTGCCACTATAATCGATTCACTCCAGTTAGCCGGGCACTCTGAGTAAGGGAAACTGTTGGAAAATAAAGAAGGGAGGCACCAGCAATAGCATGTTTTCGCTTATCCGTTCTGCTGTATGCAGCAATTAAGGGGACCCTTGATAATCTGCGCGATGGCCGATGCAGGATGAAGTTTATGTTTGAAGAAAATGCCATAGATGTATGTGGGCTTATATACTTCCAATGCGCTCAGACCTAGGCCGTTGGACGATTAGTGTTCTCAGCCAAAGCATTTGACTCAAAAGCCTGTCCCCAATGTAGCGTGGTGGTTGCAATGTGGTATAATTTTTACAAAAATGTACTCCTTCACTCAAACTCCCAACATGGAGGAGCAGGAGACTGAGTTTGTCTAACCTCTCACTATTGATCAACCTGGTAGGAGTGGCTCTCAAGTGGCCTGCTGGCACGAGCCAGTATAGCTCAATGTCTCAAGGAGGTACGTAAACCGTCGCACCGAGTTAAGGTCCAGTCTCGTTACAACAAATTTCAGAGCCTTAGAATCGGTGATACGATTCTAGGTTGAACTGACAACTTCCTACTTCAACGATATTTGAATATGAGAGTCTTTGGCGCCGTACCCGACGGAGATCTTAACTGGGCCTTCCATTTAAGTGGCACACTACTATTCTAATCTTTGGAATTTACCAACGGAAAGGTTCACACTGGTTAGTTTTTACTGAAACTTTATTGTTTATATTTATCGGTCGTGCTGCGATACTTATCTACTCGCGTTATATTTTGTACTCGCTGTGTCCCTAGGCTTGCGAAGTATACATTTGCTAACGCCTTGTTACAGGAACTAAATGGAAATTCTTTTACAGAAGCGTAATAATTGTGTGGGCTCTGGTTTGCTTATTGGCAGGCGAAAAGGGACGCTGGTTATGTGATAGCTTGTTTCTTTCCTGGATCTCGTCATGTCCTGTCCTATTCTGCTAGAAAACATTGTGCTGGATGGAGGGTCGCTCTTCGAAAGAAAAAGGTGGGAGATCTACCTGTATTGCTTAGCGCTAACATCCACTCGCTCCCAGGAAACTTAGATGAACCATCGCGCGCCGTCTTTTTCGGAGAAGTTTCGCAGCTTGGCAGCATTAGGTTGCAAGCAACCTGGCACGCTGAGGAAGTGGATGATGCTCTCGTATCCGGTGGAGAATATAACTGCAGTCGAGTTGCCCGCCCATGCAAGTACCGAAACAAGGGTGGAGGAGTCCTTATCTACACTTATCCATCAAGGTGTATTGCAACAAGAAGCATCTTTTGTGTCTCTTCCTATTATAACTCTGATAAGGCTTTCTTCCTATTATATCATATGCTTAGTCTTACAATGCAAGCCGAGGTGTTCGAGTGGCTATTTAGGACTAGTAACTACCAGTCCGAGACGATACACGTAATCGAGCACAAATATCGGAAGTCAAATGCAGTCTGACACAGCGGTCTAATTTCGAGCGGGTACAAGGAGAAGCGGACGCTTGAAATGAGACAGGTGCAAATTTCAGTAATGTAACTCA